TCATTTGCCCCAAAAGGTTGATGAGACTATATGGGGGATCTTTTTTGTTGTAATTATTTGATCTGATTGCTGAACAAATACAGAATCTGCGTGGTGGTGGGGATTCCCGCAGGCACAGACGCGAGGCTTCTGCTCTGGCAGTCCACAGTTGTCCCTGAGCACGAACACTGCGAGGGACGGGCGACGGTTTGGAGGCGGCTCACAACGGCCTCCCCTTGCACGCGAGCGGCGTCACGTGTGCCCCAACATTTACACGAGTTGCCTCTTACTGAAGATGTCCCTGCAAAACCTTCTTCACAAAACATTCATAGTGCTTAGTACATTTAGAAATCACTTGTCTTAATGTATTGTTTCGGAGTTGTGTTGTTATATCTATTTGCTTCTTTATTTTAATTAATGTAATTGGTTTGGATCATAAGTGTAATTATTAATTTATGTATCCCTTGAAAATATGCTCGCCATGATCATCTCACTACTGGATGAAGGTCTCTGCAATCCGTAGTCACGACCATGCGATGTTTTAATCCACTTCGCACCTGCACACGAGCCGCTGTCATTACTCCATCTCCGTGGTGGACGTTCTTTAGGGCGCGTTTCCTCCCTTGCCTGCCACCTAGCAATTGTTATCGACCATGGTCAATGTGCATTGGCCATAGTGGATTATTCCATCATCCCTTCTCGTTCCAGAGCCTGGCCAAGCCTGCTTACTTTTATCTGTTTGATGTAACTTGCTAAAGTGTATATTCTCTGATCCAAGTGTTTCTCTGTCTCTCAATGTCATTCCAAGCATGTAACTCGGAATGCTTCTGTGCGCACTTCTTATGTGCTTCTGAACCATCTGCTATTGGAGGTGGTTCACACGGATCAACATGTCTAGTTGTAGACACATTGGAATGTTACGTTTCATTGTGAAGTTCAGATTTACAAAGGCACTCCAACCTGCTCTCGTTTGTATTGTTTTATTTGCATTGTTTTAGTCTCATTTCAGGAGATGCTAAAACCTTGATTACGGAAACAATGTTTAAGCAAATAACACCTTGTTATAAATTTCGATTTAAAGCTTTCGTGACTGCAGGGAATCGTCTTCTTGTTTCTTTCGGTAAAGTCACGTAGAAGGGAACTAATAAAATAATAATAAAACATAATAACGAAACGTCGTGATAATTATTTTGTTTTATTTTAATTAATTTATTATTTCCCTTCTACGTGACTTTACCGAAAGAACCAAGAAGATGAATCCCTGCAGTCACGAAAGCTTTAAATCGAAAGTTAACCGTGCGGGTCGCTGTACTGCACCGCACAGACAGTGGGCTCGGCATGGAGCGAGGTGCCGAGATGTGAGGTGAACACGACGCCGCTTACGCGACCTAGTGACCCGTGTTGGACTCCACTGCCGTGTGAAGAGCGACGCTCTCTTGTAGAGGCTGCTCTACAGCAAGAGGCGGAGGCTGCTGATCTGCGATTTGTTCTCAGCGATCAACTGGGAGTCCCCAGATTCTGTCTTCAGTAGGATACTACTACAATGGGATGTGGAGCCAAGTCCTTTTTGAGTAAAGTTTTGCGTTGTTGGTCCTGTTTGGGTGGTTGTTGTTTTGTGTGGTTGCTCTTGTTCTGATGTGCTGTGGTGTTGTGTGCTTGTTTTGTCACGTCGTTGTTTTTGTTGTGTTGCGTTGTGTGGATGTTGTGGTGATTTTTTAAATGTTATTTTGTTGCTGCTGCCTTAACGAACCCCGCACAGCACGCGTGAGTTTCGATAAACGCTCAAAACCACCTCTAATTATTCACACAATTCACTCCATGTAATGTCCACTAATGCACGAAGACAGACGCTCACCTCACTGCTCAGTGACACTGCATACTAACTCGTTGCGCAAGAGGGCACCGTGACGACTCATGATAGTGACGATGACTGTGAATGTCAATAACGCGGTAGCTTTATAAACCGAACGCTACTCGTGCCGAGCGTCGTCTCTATCCCGGTGCCAGCGATGAAGCAGAGACCGTTCCTGGCAGTGCCGGCTCAGTTTGTCAAAATTAAAAGCTTAAACATCGATTTGACTTTCATGAGAACACTCATCGCAGGGTGCATGGCAGAGTTGAACCACGAGTTTGTGAGACATCCTGCAAAAAATAATAAAAACAATTTTACTTTGAGACTTCAAAATGGCTTATTCGTCTCATCATATGGCGCTACGACCTTGAAATAAATTGGACAGACGAAACTATCCCTTTTTTCCGTGTCACACGCACAGTTTATGGAAAACAGGCAGCGAGCCTCACTCATCGTTCAAAGGGACATTTAGCGACACTCCTGCAACACGGTAGCCCACGGTACACCCGAACAAAATCGCTATCCTCAGGGGTGTAACGATTCACTCTACTCCCCCACCCTCCACTCCCCGACAAAAATAGTGTCCCGGAAATAAAATGTTTAATTGCCTCGGCCATTTTGTATTATTTGGTACCCCGGTGTACCACCATGAGGATAAAGTGCGCCCGTGGGAATGCTCTTCAGCTGGTTGATTTGCAGTTCCAGTTTTGTCAGTTGAGTCAGACGGTCAAACAGCCCAGCGGGGAGAGACGCGAGTTCCTCATTGCGCAGAAACCTCAAACACTCGCTGTCCACTTTCATGGAGACTCGAGCAGAATGAATGTAAATACGACTACAAACAGCGTTGGTTGCATTTTACTCACCGATCAAGCTTGTGAGCGGATTGGTGTTGTTCGAAACATCAAATGAATAATTCAAAGCCCTTCGTCTACCCACTGCTGCTCTGATTTCAAATGTGGTGATCGTTACACTGATATTGGGTGACAAGGTTGGAACCTCATCTTTACTGTTATTGCAATATTTTGGCACTGTAGTCTGCAAGGCGGTTTATGGAAATTCCACACTCCTATGCCGGGAACCAGTACATTTAATGTCGATTCATGACTGGCTACCATCAGTTTTGAATAAATGAACCCGGCATGGGCCTCCCCTCTGTTTACTCAGCCTTAAGTGAGTACCTGGCACGGTGAGTAAGCATCAGCACAGGAGATACAACGCGTGCCTGAGAGAAAGAGGGATTGTGTTTTAAACGAGAAGGATTCCGTGACAGTCCTCCTTGGCTGAATCATTACTGTTATGAACCATCACTGATACAACCGATCGCAAGCCGCACCGATGTCCGTTGTGTCTACTGCTCAACTGATTGATTCCACGCTCTGCTGAGTGATGGAAGATGCCATCTCACGTGAAGCTGTGCACAAGTGACTTGCATTGCGGTGTGAACAGAATTCAGTCCGAAGCAATCGCGCATTAGTCAGCTGAAGAGCATTCCCAGGGGCGCCTTTGACAACCTCAAAAGCCTCACTCACATCTGGCTGCACGACAACCCCTGGGACTGTGCCCTGCGCTGAGCGCTCAGCCTCGTCGCCTCTCCATCAGCTTCCTCGCCTCTCTCAGCCTCCTCGTGATGATGAATGATAAAGTAGCCTACACAATCGTTTCATTATAAACATATGTAGAACGTTGTGATTTTTTTAAATTGCTAAAGTGAGAGATAAGGCGATGAGTAGTGGGCCCAGTGGTTAGCGTACTGCGCTCTGAACACGGTGACCTGGATTTTATCGTCAGCCACGGCGAACATCAGAAGCGAGTAATGATCATCACCACTTCAGCAGAGCCATTCGGTCAAACCCGCTACAACCGAAGCAGTGCTTGTGCCAGGCTAGGTGCATACACACATCTATTTATATAAAACACAATGAAAAAAGCTAAATAATCTCCCTGCAATGCTCTTCAATTGGTTTAAGTCCAAACCCAAGTGAGTCATTTGGGGGTTTAGTTGACCTCGGGGAGGTACAGGATTTATTCAGATAATCGTCGCTGGTGTTGGCTGTGAGTGGGAATCCATATCGGGTAGCCGTGTTTGTCGTGCAGTGCGCTAACCGCTACACTCCCGATCCCCATTAAACAATTGTACTTCAGCTATATTCATGTCATGTTACTGTCCGGTAATATTTACGTTGAAACTGGTACAATGAACAGTGCACCACCTTGTGCTTGAGAATAGCCCTGGAAAGGACGTCAATTAACATCTTTAAGCCTCTTATTCTCACTCAGTGGCGCACATTCCCACAAGCCCTGCCAAGTGGGTTACTCGCGTGCAAATCAAAGAACAGATGCAGTTATTCAAGCGAGAAGGAGCCACATCAAGTGGAATCTCAAGTGTAACATGATTAGATTGAATTAAAATTTACGGGGTTGTTTGTGTGTGCACTCATTGGTGACTGTGCTGAGCCCATCAGCTCAATCCTTATCCCGATGTCTCCTCACTTCTCCTCATCTCTTAAGGATTATCTACGTGTGTGTCGACTTCTCTTGCTAATTGTGCCTTTTCACCACTGCCAATGCGGTATCAGCAAACAATGGGCGGACCGTGATCTCAATTCACAACGAGCTGCAGACCCTTGCCGAACACGCTGCGATCATCTGGGGGTTGAATTCGCTTTCACAACCAGCGCGTGGTCGTTACAAAAGCAAGAGCCTCGCAGATGATCGTCCTGGCCGCGACGTTAACTTCGCCCGGTAATGGTGCCACCTAAAGAAGCGACCTCAATTCACTGTCGTAGGGATATGTCTGTTGAACCAATATCTATCCACGATCATAGCAACATGCGTTCACTTCCATACGTATGTTTGCTAAAGCAAATTAATTTCACTTCGATCGACATATTTGACATAAATCTTCAGGCGTTGAATTGACCTTGATTCACATTCTTTGAAATTCATATAGTGGATCGATCTCCAGTCCCAAGGATAGAGACAAGAAAGCTAAAGCGATTTCAGTTCATCTTTTGACAATTCACTTTATAAAGCCACAACTATTTCGTAACACGAATTCCGCGAAAACATTGTTTTTGCATCTTGTATATCTATTCTACGTAATGATTCACTATTACAGTGACTTTAGTAGTAGCCTCAGGTTCTCGCGTCTCCACCTGTATTTTCACACTGTCAAACACCCCGGGCTCGAGCTTGGTGATCTGATTGTTGAAGAAACTCAGAATCTGCACATTGGTGGGGATTCCGGCAGGCACAGACGCGAGGCTTCTCTCATGGCAGTGCACAGTTGTCCCTGAGCACGAACACTGCGAGGGACGGGCGACGGTTTAGAGGCGGCTCACAACGGCCTCGCCTTCTACGCGAGCGGTGTGGCGTGTGGTCCAACATTTACACGAGTTGCCTCTTCCTGAATATATCCGTCAAAAAGTTTAACCGAAATACTTTTTAGAGTGCATAATTTGAACATACTGTATATACCCTGTTACCACCGATCGTTTAGGATATGTGTTTAAATTTGGTTTGAATTTGCGTCTCTAGTTAAATTATTTGTAAATCTATTGGATCATTAATTAATGTATTTACCAGCTATCCCTTGGGAATAGAGATATACATTACAAAAGGCGCTTATCTACTTCGTATGAAAAGTATATTCATCAATACGTAGATATATACTCATCAAGATCCATGATCAATCCGCTGCAAGCCGTATCCACTTGACATGGATGTGGTTTACCTGGTCAAACACTCTCTTCTATCGCCGCATTGGAATGTTAATTTTCATTGTGACGTTCAGCATTACAAAAACACTGCAACTTGCTCTCATCGGATCGTTTTACTTAGTCTCCTTGTTGCTCTTGCTAAAACGTCGAAAACAGAAATAACTATCTGGCAAACAAAGCGTGTTACAAATGATATTATACAATGAATAGCCTCAAAAATTTCATTGTAAACCGCATCATTGTCGGTTGTTAGATGATTCATATTCAAGACTATAGTTTCATATATGTACATATTTAGTAAACTAAACACCAACGTACTGTACAACAAGTGTGATGATCAAAATTAAATAATTGTTGGAGGGACGCAACTTGAAAACGCAGCAGAATATCCAACTTTGGGCTATTATTGAGATCAGATCGAGATCCAGCTGGTAACATGTACAGGTGAAGTTGATCAATTTGGAGTGCGTTGAAAAATATTCGGACTCTTTCTCAGGACTCCATTTTTTCTCCCACCATTACAAGTGTCAATCCGTGGATACTGCTCGCCATGAGGTATCGATAAGAAATATGAAGCGACAGAGAAGATGGATTAACTTTATCCAACCATAAAAAGTTACTGCGTGAGAAACACGAATATTGTTTAAATACTTCTGTTTGTTAAAGGGCTTTCGAGCTCCCCCCACCCCCTCAATTTTATTTCCCGCCCCACCTCCACCCATGTCAATACCCTACAGCAGGAGTCGGCAACCTACGGCTCCGGAGCCGCATGCGGCTCTTTACGGGCTGCTTCTTGACGATATGTACGTATGTACAGTATGTACTCAGATGCATTGCGGCTCTTGAAATACTGAATTTTGTACCGAATTGGAAAGAAATGGCTCTTCTTGTTATTTTGGTTGCCGACCCCTGCCCTAGAGGGTTATCCGAGTTACGGAAGTAGACACCAGTGGGCTAAAGAAGTGAATTATTTTGTCCTTTGAAAAACGTGACACATGTTTTACTGTTTGGCCGCGTCGGGTGGTGGAGGGTTACGACACATTTATAAATAACGCGATCTGACCCAAAAACCTATATAATGAATAATATTGGTCGCGAAAGCCTACGTGTTAAATTGATGTAGGGTTTAATGAAACACATGGCATAGACAGGTGGTTCAAAATATAAAAAGTTGGTAACAATAATTGTACTTCGCATTGTATCTATACTGCTGTCAATTCCATACATGCCCTCTGTGTGTACTTGCATCGTTTGTTTCATTAAAATAATTTTGGCAAAAAAGGCTTTCGACCGTGTGCACGGGTAGTTTATTCTCACCACCTAGGGTTTACCAGACAAGATAATAGATCTTGTAAATAGATGTTTTGCAATGGCAGTCAATCTTCGGTGCAATATGAAAGACAAATGTGTGAGTTGGTTCCATATTGTCAGACAACTATATGCTGAAGCAATTAAAACAAGTGCAGAGTGCAGTAACTTCATCGGCGTAGTGCAGGTACATCAGCATTGATGTTCAAGACCATGATCTGCTTAGAGTGCGGGAGCAGAGTCAGCCCCTGGGGACGCTCTTCAGTTGATTGCCGTTCAGACCCAGATCAGTGAGCTGGGTCAGTTTGTCAAATACCCCAACGGGTAAAGCCGACAGCTGGTTATCCCCCAGATACAGATGCTGCAGATTCGCTAAGTGGTCAAACACCCCGGCGGGGAGAGCTTGTGCCAGGGAATTGTTTTGGGCAGAGAGCTCAGGAGAGAGAAGACGAACGTGGATTTAATTCTAACTTTATTAGCAGTACAGGAGCAGTTCCACGATGAGAACTTACCTTTGAGGCACTTTAAATATGCTATATTATCTACATCCAGCAGTGAATAGACACTGGCGAATGACAATGAAAGACAACGGCTGATTATCTAGGCCATATACACAGTTGACAGGCTTACTTTTAGATTAGAATTGCGTTTGGAGACTTCATAAGGTTTTGGATTACTCAAAGAGAATAGAGAATGCTTACAGATATATTGTAAGACACTTACTGAAATAAACTATGGGCCAGGGTTGTTAGTTGAAACTATAAGGCAATCTTACTGGTAGAGGCTTTAAGCCAGGGTTACTGGTGAAGGCTATAAGGTAGGCTTACTGGTAGACACTCGAAGGATGTAGGTTTATAAACTGAACTCTACTCGTGTCAAGCGTCATCTATATCCTCTTGTCCATCGACAACGCAGCGACCGTTGCTTGCAGTGCTGGCTACGTTTGTCACACGCGCCCCTGGGAATGCTTTTCAGCTGGTTCTGATTCAGATACAGGCGGTGCAGATTCACCAAGTGATCAAATACCCCAGCGGGGAGAGACGCAAGTTCCTTACGGCACAGGAATCTCAGACACTCGCTCTCTACTGTTGTGCGACGGCTCTAGCAGAGTGACTGTAAATACGACTTCAAAGACCAATGGCTACATTGTATTCATCCATCAAATATGTGAGCGGAGTGGCGTTGCGCAAACAATTATAAAATGAATTATTCAAAGTCTTTTTTCAAAATCATTACTGAATTAAGGCCTTCCCATGCCGTTCCAGTCATGGGGTGTATTTCACCATATTTCACCACGCTGGTCGGGGATAAATGGGTGTCTCTGACCAATGTTGAACAATGAAGAGTGCGTTAATGATCTAATTTTAGTCTCAACAGACTAAGGGAATGACAAAATGAAATACGCAGAGCTGAATCATGCCTGAATATCCGTAAACAACTTTACAAATTCTCCAATGACACTGTCTTCAAGTAAAAAAAATATATGAAACGCGACAGTGCACGCACGTACATTTACGTGTCCTCTTGTTAGCCTGCAGGGTCACTGTGGAGTGAGGCGAGCATGATAGAGCGTTGGCAGCCAGTGGTGCAGAAGCACAGATAAAACAAACTCACCATAACACAAACACATTGCCGTAATGGGATGTATTTATATTTTGTAACATTTCAGAAAATCGTCCTTCTTCATATGACGTAAATGTTTTCTATCATATATTTATCGCATTAAGGCAGTGCTATTGACGAATGTTTAGAGTTGTTTGTCAATGTTCAGTCCAATTCCAGCTCGATGTATTTCATTTCGTTATTCAATAAAAGTGAGATAATTATATAACTCTTAGTTGGTCAATTTTGGGGTGCATTAGTGAATATTTAATCAGAATCTGAATATGTATTTATACTGGAGGAATCCGATGAGCTATGAAGCTATTTTTCACACATGTCCAGTAGGGGTGGGTTAGAACGTTACAACAATCAGTCCAGAAATCTGATAGTAGTGCAAAATATAAGAAATGTAAACAAATCACCCAAACACATGCAAATTAAATTAAACCATCCACACCATACCAGGCAAAACCCACTGAGGTATTAAATTATGTTTTCAAAAGCGACTTGGAAACAAATGGCCTATCATTTTGGACATTTATAGCACTAAAATAACTTAAATATTCTTCATATTTCTCAATGTGGAGGGAAAACCGGAGGGCCAGGAGAAACAAATATATGCGACCACCCGAAGAACATGCGAACTCCAAATATATAGAAGTCAACGTCGGGATCGGGATCGAACCCCCGACCTCTTGCATACCAGGCGTGGACGATAACATCTCACCACTGTGTCACCCCTTTAATAAATACAGTACGTAAATTCAAATTGCATAAATTCCAAAGCTTCAGAAAGGCATTAAAACAACAGCAAAAACAGTCCCATATCAGACCAAGACAATACACAGTCCTTCAAAAATACCTAAAAATCGAATTCTTAATATATTGTTAAGGATTAATAATGAGTGAATAGTGTGAATAATGAGAGCTGATATTGAGCATTTTCAGAAACTCATTGCACAGCACGTGAGACTTTCTGTGAATGCTCAATATCAGCTAAATAAGTCCCACGAATCACCCATTTAATATTCATTCCTGCACTAAAGTAGACGCTCAATTCACTGCTCAGTGACACTGCAGACTAACTCGTAGCACAGAAGGACAACATAATGATGATGGTGACGATGACTATGCATGTCAATAACGTGGTAGGTTCATGAACTGGAACGGTTTGTTAAACGCACACCTGGGAACGATTTTCAGCTGGTTGTTGTGCAGTCAAAGCTGCTGCAGATTCCCCAGACGATCAAACACCCCTACGGGATGCTCTTCAGTTGATTTTGGTCCAGACCCAAATGCTTAAGCCGGGTGAGTTTGTTAAACTGTGGATGTCAATAATATAAGCGTGTTTTAAAAAAGTTTTTTTAAAAATATTACTTGTTAAATGGAGGCCACGGACTGCGCCACGGAGCTTTTAGCGGTGAACAAGATACCGTATTTACCCGGTAATACTTCATGCTACCTTTACCCTACCGGGTAATTCTTCCGAGCTACCTTTACCCTACTCTTTACCTTACCCCTTGGTATGTCGACACCTTTACCCTTCACCTTTTTACCCGGTAAAAAGGGTAAATTACCTTACCTTGCCGAGGCCTGCTGCAAACTAACTCGTAGCACAAGAGGGCACCATGACGACTCATGATAGTGACGAGGACTGTGGATGTCAATAACGCGGTAGCTT